GGGGAAGCCGAGGATCTGCAGGGGAAGCGTAGGGTGTATTTTGAGAGCCATATGCCCGAGCACATTGCAAGAGCACCGTCAGGCGGGGAGCGAGACGGGGCAGCCCCCCAGCTCTCCCCACATGCTGCTACCCCGGTGGCAGAGCGCGGAGCCCGCGCGGGCGATGGCAGCTTCTTCGCAGCGTCTTTCTCCGCAGCCATCTCCAAGCTGTCGTTTTCTGCAGCCCCAGCGCTGCTCTTCAGCCCAACTGCAATCTCTAGTTAACGGCATCTGAGGGTTTAATTGCAAAAGTGAATTAACCCATGTGACTGGGAGCGACTGCCCAATAGGAGCCTGGTAGGCTCTTAATTAACCCTGGGAGACTCCTAGGTAGTCAATCAGATGCCCTCATTAACCAGCGTGATGTAGCCTTGGAGGCCAGGGAACCTGCGTGGGGACGGAGGGCAGCGGATGACATCTCTTGGGACTGCTCCTGTCGCAGGCCACGGATAGTGCATATGCTTGTGCTTTAATCCCTGCTTGCCTTGACTTCTAATCCTGTGTCAGGGATTAATCCGTAATTAACCACCAAGAGCTGTCCCTCTACGGCCCCTCGTGTCCCCATCTCTTGCCTGCGCCAGCATTTCCCAGTGTGATGGGCACCACCTCCGTGGTGCTTTTTGCTAGGCTGTCATCAGCAGGGAAGAAAGAGGGTAGGAAAACCAGCAATAAAACCTCACTTGGTGTTTGTCCTCCCAAACTGATATCCCATATCTCGGACTGCACCTTTGGAGCCAGGAGGCAGCTCGGGATGCTGCCGTGGAGGGACCAGCGCTGGGAGGCTGCTGGCCCAGTCCCATGGAGTAGAACAGGCTACGTGGCAAAGCCAGGGCTCTCCAGCCATGCTCTGCCATCCACGGGTTTTCCTGCCCTGGATGCATCTCATCCGGGCTCCCCAGGGCCGGGGGAGGCGAGGGCAACTCCGCAGCATCGTGGCTAAAGAGAAGGAGCAGCAGCGATGCCAAAGCCGTGGGTACGGAGAGGAGGGGAAGCTGCAGCTCTGCAGTTATTAAACACGCAGCCTCCGTCCCCCCGGGCTCTGGGTGGCCGCGCGGGGACACCAGGGCACGGTCCCTGCAGGGAGCTGTTTCCTGAGCCCGGCCGCCCGCTCCGGCTCCTCGGCTGCTGGTTTTAAGGACACCGCGCTGTGGATTCTGCTGAAAGCATCCACAGAAAATGCCTCCCCTAACGTTTAATCGCTGTGTCTGGGTTTTTTTTTTAAGCTTGGTGCTTTTAAAATCTCTTTTCCACCTCTCTGTGCGTCCTCCCGGGATGGCAGAAGCAGGTCTTGTGCACAAAGCGCATCCGCACGAAGCGATGCAGGAGCTGCCCGTGCTCCCTATCCATCCCATGGCCTCCCTCTTCCCCGCGGCCGCGCTCGGGAAGCCGTGAGCGCGTGTGGGGCAGCGCGGGGTCCCCGCGGGCGCCGCAGTTTCGTGCCTCTGCCTCGCAGGTCTCGCTGGATTTTGTGAAGAGCGGCAGCTACGAGCTGGAGCGCATGGGAGTCACCTACCCGGCCCGAGCGCACACCAAGTCCCCCTTCGACCCGGACAACAAGCGCGTGAGGGGCATTTACTGAGCGGGGACCGCAGCACCGGGAGACCTGGTGCTGGCAGCGAGGGGAAGGGCGAGGGAAAACGCCCAGGGAAGCGGACGGCAAAATTCCCAAGTCCCTGGGTGTCCCAGGAGGCTCCTGGGCTGCTGGGGAACTGGGTAAAGCCATGGTCTGCAGTGAACGCCTCGAGCAAATTTGGGTCAAATTAAAGGGAAGAAGGAAAAGAGATTCCGGAAAGGCTAAGGATTTTGTTTTTGTGTTTCCTAAATGAAGCAGTATCACTGTGGCAATAATTCTTTTCCATGATGGACCTCAAAGCAGTGTTTCCCTTGGCTGCAAACAAAATGTTTTCTATTTTTTACTTTCCTGAAACCCTTTTCCCCCCTCCAAATGTAGCTCTGTGTTAGGAACTATGAAATGTAGCTGTCTGCAAATGGATTTTCTAATTACCTTCCTGCCGTTAATACAGCTGTAACCTCCAACCCTGCTCTGCCCCCGGGCCCTCTCCGTGCGTCTGTCCCGCTGTGACCAGGACAGTGTCCTCAGGGCTCTGCCTGGTGTGCGGAGGTTACGGGAAACATTTAAAAACAAGAGAAAAACAACCAGGGTGGGGGGATTGTGGCCATGCTGCCTCTTCCTCCTCGGGATGAAGGAGCAGGTGCTTGTGCTGGGTGAACGGAGCGCAGGGATTAAGCGCTGAGATAATGCGGCTTTAGCTTCCCCAAAACGGCCGGCAGCTTTCGGGCTTGGCCGTACTGGGAAGGGGCTGTGTTCCGTGTGGAAAGCGCATGTGAAAGACTGGGGGAAAACGGGAGGAAGCAGCTGGAGGGCAGCCGGCTGCGCTGGGTGCTGGAGGGAGGATTTTCCTGGAATTGTGGCCGCACTGGGTGCGTTTCGGTGGCCGGCTGCAGGGGCAGGAACACAGTGGGGGTCCCAGGTCTCCTGCACCCCCCGGCTTTACCCCTGAGTCCCAGAGGTCTTTTCCCTTGGGAACTCACCAGCAAAGAGCTTTCATCTTCTTTTATTTTCACATTTAGCTGTTTCAGAGAGTGGTGATTCCTGCCAAAAGGTCTGTCTCTCCACCCACATCCCTCCCCCCTCTCCAAATCCCATCACGGAGGTATCATTTATCCCAGTCCCTTGGCATCTGGTCGCATTAAGACGGATAATCCCAGCTTGGTGGCAGGGGGTCGCAGTCTCGGCTAAGGGCGGGAGAAGGCTTCCCG